CACAGCCTATGATGCTTTAGATTTAGCCTAGTAGACCAACTGTTAGAGACAGACGTATCATTTTTATGGAATTATATGATAATCATATTCAGATTTATATAAGCATTTTACAAGTATTGCAATCATTGAGTAGAGATAATCATGGTATTTTCATCAGCTTGGTACTTTTTGAAACATGACTGTGTCGTGTAAACAATCTGCAATTTTTCAAGGCATGACAACTTGCCCCTATTTGATTTTCAAACCAAGGCCATTTCGCTAAATATCGGGCCCAAGACAACTTTTCAACTGGGACAAAAGAGGGACCTTCTTCCGATGGAGCACTGACTGGAGAAGGCTGCTTGTCTGGGTCACGGACAGGTGCAGCCCAGCAGATGCCCGGGTGGCAGTTTCAAGCATAGTTGAAAAATTGCAGTTTGTCTGTGCATATGTTTGGACTCTTTCCATGTTGTCCTGTTTACAAGTTAACCTAAGTTGGGGTGTTTGTCACGGGTCTTCTTGTTTTTGTATTTAAATAAATAAAGCAGAAAACTGTCTCGCTACAGTTTTGCTGCAGATAGTTATATCCTCATGTGTACTGTGCGTGCCTACTGGCAAGCACCTTAGTAAATTATCAACTCACCGCTGTGAACCTGCCAACTTGCTATAACAACTCTGCTTTAAAAAAAGTGTTTGTGATCAGGCTTTCTCTTTGTCATCGTATGTGCATGCAGTATGATCAGTTGAACAATAACCATCAATAAAGTTTCACAAGATTTGAAAACAAAGTTTCTGTAGCATTTATATCTAAGAATGAAAAATAAATTATCTTTAAAATTGAAACAGAGAGAGAAAGAGACTATATTAATCAATGAAAAATGGGGCAGTAACATATATTTATACTGGTGAGGGAATGAACTGAAATTTATTGAGAGTTCAATCCCCACATTTATTATATAAGATATACGAGACAAGCCTCCTATTAAAAAAAAAAAAAGTATATTTCATTTAAACACCGCGATAAAAGCAACTTGAAAAAATGTTTACCAAATGTTAGGCTTCCAATTCAAAGTGTGGATGATACATCTTTTTTGGAATTGCACACACAAAATGTCTAACGTGGGGAATAACAGAATTTATTTGCAATTTTAATTTTCATGAGATGGCTTTACAACTCCCACTCTCCGAATGATTATATGGCGTTTTAGTCTATTAAAATAATCTTGAAAGGTTGAGGGTGCAGCCCATATTACAAAATATTTTGTTTATAAAGCTCCTACAGTACTCCTCATAGTAATTTTAAAATGTATGTCTGAAATAGTTATGTAAGAAAAGCATTTGAAATTTTTTTACAATATATATTGGGAATGTTTTCACTTATATAAATAACTACTGATAATATGACTTATGAAAAAAATTATTACTACCATATGTGGAATATAGTGACTTCTAAAAAGATTTAAAAAACCACCTTACAAACCCAGAAAATGTGTATATCTGTCTTTAGAAATTAGTGTTTATATCACAAGCGTGATTTGTGAATAAAGAAAAATGGTTTGTAATATCAAAATAAAAGCTTAGTCTGAAAAGGTAAAAATACGTTGGTGTTCAAAGTCATTTTGCTTTTCTTTTTTACTGTGTTGGTTGAAGAGCTATCCACAGTTGCACCATCTGTACTGTACACAATATACTTATAAAGAGATGTACTATTGACAAGGTTCACAGCTTTTTTACTGCCTGGAAGCGGTGTTTGGGAGCCTGGCTGGGCAGAGGAGCCTGATGAGGTTAGTGCCTGCCCTGTGCGCCCGGTGCTCCTGCCCAGGGAGTGGGGCTGCCGGGCGTGTGTGTGTCCGTCTGCGTGCGTGCCGGTGCTGTGTGTGTCTATGGGAGGGGGGCAATAACCTCATCAGCGGGCCCAAGCTTGGCTGCTGCTGCTTTTCAGTCAGAGGCCAGAGTGATGAGACTCAGCACGGGACCGGGTTGAAGGTTTGCTTCCCAAAAAGGCAAGTTTAATCCCCTATCAGATGTATTTTTCAGGCAACACTGCGTGATACATGAGGAGGAATTGGTTTTTGTTCGTAGGAAGAAAAAAAGGCATCTTCCAAACTGACTGCATTTAAACAGGACATTTCATCTAAGTGGATCACAAAAATACCACTGATCTGCACCTGACCTCTGAGATGAAATGTGACTGTAGCTGCTCAGCCAAGTGCTGCTCAGGGAGCACCAATTACTGGGGAGGGCCAGTTGCTACGAGTATGTGCCCGCTGCTCTCATCTGGGCCCTGCACCACTTCTCTCCGGTGGCAGATGGGAGTTAGCCTTCTGTTTAGCTGTCTTTTTCATGGACAGCTTCTATTTCTGTGCACCTTCAAGTACAGGAGAGGAAGGAGAGATAACGCTGTTGATCTGAAACCAACAGTGGAATTTCTGCAGTTCTGGAAGGCTCCTTCCTGTCACTCCCAGCTCTGTCGTCCAAGTCATAGCAAATACAACTATGTGCTTGTAGGTCTAGACTTACCCATCAGTCTAAAAGGTCGTGATGAAGCTGATGAGTTTAATGTGCCATTAATCATGTCACATGCATGCCAACAGAATTACACGACTCTTCCACCTGGGTTCCTAATACACTGTAATTTAGTAGAGGAAGAGAAGACGTAAAGGTAAGGGATTAAATACTGCGTGTTTTGCAGTTTAGCAGCAGGCTTTACTCTAAAAAGTGCTTGGATCCTTCTGGGAAAGTAAAGAGAAGAAACCCTGATGTTTGCCAGGAATGGTGGGGAGGTATTATGTTATGCTTACTTTATATCTTTATATGAAATATGAGCACTAAATGTTCAAGCGTACTCTCCTCCACACCATGCATGAGGGATATAATGACAGTGTTTCCTTTGGTGGCTGGATGAAATGACAACGGTAGTAATAATGAGTAAGATTTGGACTGAAGGAAGGTGAGAAGCATGTGAACAGATAAACGTGAGTGGGGGACAGACACACACACACGCACATGCAGAGAACCTGAAACACCACATAATTTTCACGTGGTTGGATTAATCTACATGTTGTCTGGTATCATTATTTATGATTTAATGCAGTAGTGCTTCCTTTCTTGGCCGAGTAGCCAACACATGCTAACTGAATAAAAACTGTGTTTATTGAACAATTGGCCAGAGAATAAGCAAAGCATCATGTGTAACCAAAAGAAAAAAAAGAAAATGCAGTAAGCTTTTCAGGGTATTTTTTCCAATTATTTAAAGCTCTCATACTGCTTTAATTGTAGCAGATAGTATAGCAAAGATTAAATTGAATCTTTTTAGGAAATCTTAGAACTATCCCTGTATACCATGTCCTGTACTACTCTGTCCTTGATCATCTTTAAGGGCATCCAGGTTGTTTATTAGCTTCCTATTTGGGTAAAATGTCAAGTTTTTTAACTAGAGTTTAATTTTCTTTAACTTTCTGGGAACTTTGTCTTCAGTTTGAATTGCTGTTTTGCTGTATTGCAGTTTCATACCTCAAGTGATTCTTTGCAAGTTTGACGTGTTCCTATTGCCACATTTTTTTCAGTTTTACAGTACAGATGCATGAGGAAAAAAGGCTGTTCAAATTATTTCCTCCCTAAAGTAGAGCTGAAATATCATTTTGCTAGGTGGAGGGGAGAGAAGAAAAAAAAAAAAATAAAAAGCAACCTTGTTTCAGTGGGAAGAGAAGATTTGAGTGGGAGGTGAGATCAGAAGGGAGACAATGATTTTGGGAGGTCTGAAGAATTTATGGAAGTGTCATCAAAACCAGTCATCTTACCAGTATTATAAAAGTTTATCATAATGCTTCATTTATTCCTAAAGGGCATACGCTTCACCTCTCACTATAACATGAGCTTTATGCCACGTCTTTCCAGACTAGACCTTGAGTCTTTACTACACGTAACTTGATTCATACAGCAATAGAGATGTTTGCTTTTTGTCTGAATTGGAAATTTTTCTCCGGCAGCTTTTATGCCTCTCCAGCCCTTACCTAGTCCTCTGCATACCAATAATTGTCTTGCAGCACTTCACAAAGAGCACAACGGACACAGACTAGGATCAGAAAAAAAATCTACGGGCCAGTATATCTTCAACTTGAATCTTTTCTCTCAATGAGGTAAGACTGAGATTAGCATGGGGAGGAAAAAGATTAAAAGTACTTCTAGATCCAAGATCTGGTCCTTATTTTCTTACTTGGAAAAGAAAGGTTTTTATTTCACGCTGGTTTGTATTTAAGTATGGGGGTACATTTCCTGTATCCACACAAACAAAGGATGAATCTGATGCAATGGCATTGTAGTTGAAACAGTGATGTGACTACCTGAGCATTTCACCACTTGCTTTAGTTGGATAAGATATAACTCATGCTATGCAACAAAGCAATGAAACATGCGGATTACCCATTCATGAAGAGCAGATACTTTGAATTATATCCACAAAGGGACCTGGAAACTTCAATGTCATTTGAGGTGTCCAGTCAGGCAGCGTTCAGGGCCAGGAGCTCCTGTTCAGCTGTTGTTTAGCTCTCTGTAGCAGATGCTGTCAAACTTTTCAGATTCCTACCTCGTGTCCTATCTGGATGCTCAAGGTAGGCGATCTTGGTTTACGTGTTTTGCAATACCCAGTTAGGTAGGGGTACTAAGAATGAGAGTTTTGGGTGGAAGGGAAGGTGGAGGTGATTGCCATGCCCACTGAAACCATGTTCAAAGCACTCACAAGTATATGTGGGAGATGGTTTTAAAAATCTTCTCTTGGCTCAACTTAATACAGAAATGTTTTTTTTCTGTATGTAGCTGCCATGTGTATATTGGGTCAAGTCGTTCTCAGTTCTTCTGTTAAAGACCTTCCATTTTACTTAAATAATTAGTCATTGAGAAACACTTCTTCGATAGTCTGTTGATTTGGACTCTGCCCTGGATTCCAGTCCCTGCTCCCTATCAGAGTGAAAAGATGCCTCCATGACCCCATTGCTTGCTTAACAGGGATCGGGCGACAGTGGAGTGGCCCTTCTCTTTCCCACAAGACAGGTTGGCTTGTTGTAGGTTCCTGATTCCAAAAGAGATTTACAGCTGAAAATCCAAACTGGAGAAAAGCTCACTGTGTTTAAGGTACTTTACAGCACTCCAGGCTGCTTCTCAGCACTGCTTGTGACTTGGTTTAGTTTGCTTTCTGTTAGCTTTGATTCACCCACGCAGTGCCTGGGCAGCCTGCATGCCTAACCAATTTAATGATTCCATTGTTTAGCAAAAGGCCTGTAAGTCAGGAGTTCAGTACATAAGAAAACTGTTAAATAAAACATAAGTGAATGCAAAAATAATCATTTAATGGACATTATGAAAGGACAGTAAACCAAACAGTTCAGTCCAATGGATGATGTATAACATCTAAACAAATATGACAACTAATTAAGGATTAGGTTCTGCCTGTTTGGATGACAGGCCTTATAAAAATGAACAGTTAGGTTATGTTGGGGGAAAAAAGCTGCATTTTGCAAATGTCAGGCAGACAGCTCAGTAAGCAGAAAAGCTCAGTTACCCAATTAAAATAAATGTGCAGTGTTCTCAATATAAAAGGGTAAAGCATCCTTACGTTGAGGAATTAAGATCCTGAAATGTAAGTGGAGCAAAAAGTGCTCTCTATAAAGATTAATGTAATCTATCAAGATTAACATTTTTGCATGCTGGCAAAGGCATATAGTAATGTGTTTCAATTCCTGAAATTGGAAACATTAGACTAAGATCAGTACCAATTTAAACCCCAGGTAACCCCAAATATTGAATTGAATTCATTATTTACAACCACGATGGGCTAATAAACTTGCCCTAATGGCTTCTTTGGGAAATAGATACCTACAGAAGGTGCTATCCTATTTCCCATAATCCTCTCTGATATTTCATGTGAAATGTAATAACAAGTTGCATAAATGTAATTTAGGGAAAAGTCTTCCACTAAGAGTAATTCCTGATTTATTCAGGAGTTTGATTCCTGTCCTAAGAAAGATTAAGGATGTTTTTCATCATTGTCGTGTGCATGGGTGTCGTGAGAGACCACAAAGTTTCAAGACCACCAGTGGGGGACACAGTTTAACCTCATTTTTTGTTGTTGCTTTCTAACAAAAGGAGGTTATTGCATAACAATGGAAAGCAAGTGGTGGGAAGGGATCACAATAACAATAAACTAGAAACTGGGTTGCACTTTCATTGTAGGAAAGAAGAGTCCACTCTCTAGATCTCCATGATTAACTGTCAGCAGAGAATATCTTTGTTTAAGCCAAGATTTAAACCTGCCCTTTGGAGTAGGTCTCCAAAACAAGAGTTTCTGAGGCTGGAAACTTATAACCACACACAATTTTTCTAAAAGGATATTCATTTCAAGGCATTTGCAACAGAATTAACATGAAACATATGGATTTTCTGGTGGTTTATAAAGCAGAAAGCAGAAAATTTTTACTAGGATCTAGGCTTTAGAGGCTTTATCAGGGGTATTAAAATGGAATTCAAGTTTGTGAGGTGCCTGATTTATAAAAAAATTCTGTCAAATGTTGAAATGAGAGGTGAGAATCTCAGCTCTGCAGTGC